TTCGGGGGAGGGGGGTTTACTGATACAACGTTTTGTTGTCACAATCTGAAAAATGTGTTCACACAGTTGCAGTGGACTCGAGTAAGAACTCTGGGATACTAAGAGTTAATAGACTCATATACAGCGGATTTGTGTTAAGAGATATGTCAATTGGACATTGAATGTTTTTAATATTTTTTTTTCTTTAGATTTAAGTACACGCTGTGGCGGGGACGCTGCACAGATGTGAATTTAAGTGTAACATTATCCCCTTGTGAGGGAGTGTTCCTCTGTCGCTTTATTGATGATTTTATTTCATTTTTTTATTTTTTGATATTACGAGTTCCAGGAGGACTCTTTGATAGCTGAGGACCATCAAATGATTTAGCTAGTTGTACTTTGATAGGTTATCTTGAGATGATTTCGGGGCTTTAGTGTCCCCGCGGCCCGGTCTTCGACCAGGCCTCCACCCCCAGGAAGCAGCCCGTGACAGCTGACTAACACCTAGGTACCTATTTTACTGCTAGGTAACAGGGGGGAATAGGGTGAAAGAAACTTTGCCCCATTGTTTCTCGCCGGCGCCTGGGATCGAACCCAGGACCACAGGATCACAAGTCCAGTGTGCTGTCCGCTCGGCCGACCGGCTCCCTGACTATGACTTTTCAATTTTATTTTAGTTATATCAGGGCAGGTATAGGATTTTTTGTCCTTCCAGGAGAGTTGGAAGGGACAACTGGGCTGCATCCATGTTGGACAGCCCGGATCATAGGGGAGATCTTCCGTCCTCATTTTTTATGTATCATTGTTGATTCATGTTATGCAATTCGTGCATTTTTGGGTGTCATTAATGTTGTTTGGTGTTTGTATCAATTAGTTAGGATTAGAATTTTTTTATTCGATTCATTGGTTTAAAAAGAACATTTTTTTAGGGGGGGGGGAGGGTGCAGGATAAGAAATGCGTGCTTTAAAGTGGCCTTATACACGAATTTATTAATTCCAGAGGGAGTTGTAACGGTCAAACTGTAGTCAACTGCTGCCCCTTTCCTTTGGTTTCATCTTCCTCTTGTTCGTCTCCCCTCGGCCATAGCCGTGGACATGTCAAGTGTAGGGCAATACTTCAGCCATTTATAAACATACTCTTCCTAGAGATACCAGGTAAGCTGAACCCCGGCAGGGTCTGGCATATGTTCCTGGAGATATGTCAGTTGGACAGGGCTTGTTCACCAGCCAACCGGTGTACAGCTGGCACAATCTGTGGGAATGAAATGTTCCTCTTCAAGCAGGCTAAGCATGACCCTCCAATATGATTGGCTACAGATAAGGGCCAAGCCCTTATCTGTAGGCCACAGTTTGAAATGACTGGATTAGGCCTGGGAATTATGGGAGGAGTCTAGGGAACTGATAGTTGTGGGAGGAGCCATTCTCCACTTGGAGGATGTTGAACTTAATGTTGGTGTGATCTAAAGTGTGAACTTAGATAGGTCAGGGGACCTGGGGGAGGCTGTCAACATCTGTGGCTGGTAATTACAGGGAGAAAGTAATGTGCTATCTTGATTGTGCATTTCAGTTCGTTACTACACCAATTGCCTCGTTAGGATGTATTAAAAGTTAGGATAAATATTCCTGTCATTTATTTGAATATTAATTGATTAATTTTGGTGTTCAGCTAATTTTCCCTTTTATTAATTTTTGAGTTTATTAAATTTCTCATCACATGATGTATTGAAAGTAATTATCAAACTAAGGTACCAAACCGGGAAGGCTATGTAGCACCATTGATGTAATGACAGTTCCCCCGTGTTTTCTCTCATCCTATTTTTGATTAAAAGAGGTCCCGATTTTATTAAGCAAAGCGTTTCTATAAATTATTCCAAGTATTAATTTCTTAAAATGTCTTACACCCTTTGAATTCATAATTACTGGTGTATGTCCTTCCCTGGGCAGGGCTATTAAGGAGACACATTAGGTTTACAGGGGGTGGTGGCAGTTTCTTAAGCTTAAGGTTTTATTAATATTAGTCATAACACTTGTATTTTCCACTTTTAAATAATTCAGTTTAACAGAGCTGGTGAGTTCAGTGTGGGTCAAAGTGTGCTTTGTAAGCTGTGTTAAGCTGGCAGCTTAATTGGGTAAGAAAGCTGGAGTTACAGCTACATGAACACACACCACAGTGGCTGCTGCACATCTGTCACTGACTCACAGCAGAGTGAGCAGTCAGCCCTTCAGGTTCCTCTGTGTGCCACTTGCCACATTCTAATTTTGTTGTACAGTATTCCAAAGGTTATTAATATATATATCATCTTCAAAGGGCAGCCTTAGCACACTGTAAATACAAGTTCATGAGCCACCAGTGCACCCCAGCAGACAACAATTGCTCCTGACCAAGACCCGTGACTCAACCAAGGCGAGGGCCAACCCAAATAGTTAGAACCTCCAAGGGAACAAAATCCGGAACGCACCAGAGAAGAGAACTCCATCAGTGCAGGGGCAGCACTAGAGAACTACAGAGCACTTGGGGAAGATTCCCCCGAGCACATGCAGCTCTAAGGCCAGGCCCATGCTACACCACAGTATTCAAAAAAAAGTACAGTAACACAGGATAAAGTCCAGAGAAGCACTTAAATGAAAAGCACTAAGGGGGCCAGTCACAAATATCAGACAATCCTGGGGCCCCTACTGCAGACGTTTGGAAAGCATCGCATCGGGGAAGGCATTGCTGGCTGAAGCTAGTGGACAGCACAAGCCCTGGCCACTCCTTCAAATGAGTGGGAACATTGTGGTGAACGAGCATACACCTGTTTCGAGAGATTTTCAATCATTTGTTAACGTTTGGCAGGTTGAGGCTTTAGTCTTTCTGATCCCAGCAGTGGTCCGTATTGGTTCGTTGACTTTCTGGGCATCTTCCCTGTCGAGGGTGGCGGAGTGTCACTTGCTTCGTCAACCTCCAAGAGGGTCCAGGTTCGAACTCTGGTCCCCGGTAGACCAAATTGAATTCCATAGCTGATGTGATTCAGTAGTTAAAAGACCAGCTAAGCAAGCTAACTTCAGGGAGCTACACGGGGCTTTCCTCAGAAATAGCAAAAAATCTGAAATCCTTCCTGATACACACTGGATTTTACACTCCAGTTTACTTGTTTGTTCTAGGCAACTAGTCTGCTGTACTGTATGCTTCAAAATATTATTAATGCCCATCCATGTTACATCCCAAGCTATTAATACATGCACAAAACTAAATCCAAAAATAAATTTCCACAGCCAAAAAAAATCATAAATGCCAAATAACTAACAAAAACTGCCAATTATTGAAAAAAATGAAAGACAAATTGTACTTTTATTCCTGACCAGTAGTTGCTTGTAGCCACATTGTTTCTCAATATACCTTTTGCTTCGATTGGTAACATTGCCAATCTTTCTTGTCATGGTAAATATACATACAGTATAATTTATATTTTACACAATTTATTTTCTTCAGTTTTCAAAGCAAGTCTCGTATTTTCTAAATTTGATATACAGTACAGTGGAACCTCGGCTTATGAATGCCCCTATTTATAAATTTTCCAGGTCACTAGCTCAATTTCTTTGTAAAATTTGATTCAGTTTATGAGCTTTGCCTCGAGTTGCGAGTCTGTTGATACACGTATGGATCAACCGAGTGCATGGTTCCTGGTGGAACAAGTAAACGCGCCTCGGTTTAATAATGCCTTCCGCGTAGTGACAATCGCGCTTGAATTCTTTGAAAAGAATTTCATTGTTTTTCAGCTTTTTTGGTTTCTAAACATAAAAGTAAGTATTATATACCATGCCAGGGGTTCCCAGAAAGTCAGTGGTAAGGTTCAGCCTATAAAATACATGTGAGGATGACCATAGAGGAAAAACAAGTCCATGGAATAGTTCTTAGTAAGACAAACAAGCAGTGAGCCACAGCCAGGTCCTAGTGGTATGTAGGCAAAACGTAGGAGAGAGTACCCCAGAGAAGTCATGACTGCCTGATGTTATATTGGAAGGGGACTCCTTCTAAACACTAACACACCTCCTCACCGTCTTCGATACACCAACAATCATCATCAGTAAAGGTAAGCTATAACTTGTATATAATATAGTACAAAATATTTGTGTTTATTATGTATGAAATGTATTGTGAAGTTAATAATTTTGGGAGTGTGGAACGGATTAAATTTATATCATTTCTTACGGGAAAATTAGTTTCGAGTTACGAGCCGTCTCTGGGAACGGATTAAATTTGTAAGCAAAGGTACTACTGTAAATGGGGCAAAGATAAGTACAGAATTAAGCCATGGTATCAAAAATCACCATTTCAAGACTTCCACCATTGAGCAAACTATCCCATTAACTTTAAATATTAGCCATATTTGTATGAAACTCGTACTTAATTTCTTAACTGGGTGAAGATACAAGTAAATATCTACATACAACTTATTGTGAGCCTATAATATACACAAATTAATGTCAGTATTCAAACTCATGTAATAACTAAGCAGCATCACACAGGAAACGGGTAATTCACAAACATTATCAACCAGTTGTAAAAGCAGCAACAGCAGCGAACTCACTGTTAAGAGCCAATTGGCAGCACACTCGGTTATCATCAGTCAGCAGCAAACTTGCTGTCGGTACAATATTGCAAACCAAAACCTATCACAAAGTAAACCTAATTAAAGCTTTTATTTGCTTAATTCTGTAACTCCTTAAAGATAGAAATCATTTTTTTTTTAACACTTTGGTGCTTCGGGTCACTTAGTGATGTGAAAAATGTTTTAAACTCTCTAAAAGAACAAATACAAAAACAAGTGCATTTATAATAGATTATGAACATCAGCAATAAATACACAAATATTCACGAAGAGTAATGGGAGGAGTTTTAGTGTGGTCGGAATGTTTACAGTCTGGATGACACATTTACGCATCATCATAAAATGTTGGGTTCACAAGGACTTGACTACTCTGCCAGTTACACCAGAAACACTACAAGACTGGGAGGGAGAACATAAGAAAATACAAAATGATAGCCTTTTTAAAATGTTTTATAATATTATCAAATAAATACAAACTGAAACAGGTTCCAGATGGTCACCCTGGGGGAGGTGCTACAAGTAATTCACCAATGTAACATTCATACAATTTACCAAAGTAAACCATAATGATTCAAAATTACCAATACATGCTTGACTGTCAAATTAAAATATTCAATTGGTTTGTTCCACAAAAGTGAATCATGCAAGATATTACACACAGGCTGAAATAACTGCCCAACACTTGAAGTATAAGGTCACTTGTAAAATGAAGCGGCAGGCAAAGTACTTGAGATCATATGGCAGCAAACTAACAAGAGTGTACACTTAGGGGGCCAAGTTTAACATTTTGAACCATATATTTCAATTTGTATATCAGTTAATTTGGTAATCCAGTAACCTGACAAACAAAATTTAAGCAATAAATCAAATGTGTAATTTGAAGATGCTTAGGAAATTCCAAATTGTATATAGTGGATTATCATTCTGTAAGAGTATCTCTGCAGCATCGATACAAAATGTGTTTTACATTTTTATTTAACAAAAAATATACAGTATAAATAAAATTATAAAACTTTAACAAGTGACACAAACATTTAATTGCTTTAAAGCATTTGTGGACTTAATACATTTAAACAGGAAATATAATCATTAATTTCAGAATATACAAAAGGTTTCACTGATGAAAATAACTAATAAAATCACATTGTGCTAAATTGGGTATAACCTAATTAAGATATATAATAAGCATTTAGCCATACAACACAAGGGAGAAATAATGGTGGTAAACAAGGGGCATGGCATACACTGTACGGTTAGGGTTTGTCATGTGTAACAATCACCAACAATGTGTTGTACACCTCAGAAGTAAACACACTCCACTTTCAGCTTTTAAAAAATACTAATTTAAGGACAATACTGTACTAACATTAACACTCATACCAAAAGTTACAGCAGGTCATGAAGACAATTCCCAAATAACACACATGGGCAATAAATTTTAAACTTTAATTTTTTGATGAGAGAGGGGTTATGCCATTAGAGATCAATGGATTTAATGGTCTGGGAACTTTGGCACAGGCACTGAATAAGGCCTTTCCTAATTTTGGAAAGTGGCAGGTCTGTGCAGCAACATACAAGGTCAAACTTAAGGTTTTCAAACAAAGGCTGTGTTCGAGATGTTGCCCCCTTCATGGTTCCCACAATAGGATGTAACCTCACTAGGTTTGAGGAGACTAAGCATGATGCCTTCCCCATGAGCCACAGCAGTGGACACACACATGGTGTCACCAAACACTTCTGGCTGATGGTATTGTGTTAACACCTTAGCACTGTATTACGTACATGTACACAAACCATGTTACAGGACTTGGCACCTCAAGCATGGAAAAAGAATATGAAATTACAAATTCTGGCAAACCCATGACTCGTGGAAAGTTTCTTGATACACAAGGCACTCTTCGTGGAATGTGCCACACACTTCAATAAACCACTCTCCAGCCCACTATCCAGCACTGGAAATAAGTCGTGCACGTGTTTGAATAAGAAGTGCGAAAGCGATACATATTGAGCTCATACATACATGTTCTCTGGAAACTTTGACAATATTTCTTAAATCAATTTTACATACAAATCCAGCAAGCATTTGTGAAACTGTAAAGTACTACTTTACACCAAATAAAATGTAAGTGAATACCTTTACCACGGCATAAAACAAAAGCAATTACTGGTAATTACGTACAAGCCACAGAAGAAAAAAGGATAGACCTCTGACTAGAAAATTTGTAACGTCTTTTCGTGCAGTGTGTGTACATACTGGCATGCGCACATTTACAAGTAGACACATGTGCGTGCTGGAGTGAGCACATACAGTGTTACAGAGTTCAGCCTGTATTCCCCTATTCCCACATATCAGTCATACTGCCCTATCTGTATTTATCTAGAAGAGGTTTTAGTCGATTTAGTGACAATTGAAAGGACGCAAGGTGTTGCAGTTAGAAGAAATATCGATTTTAAGTTTAATCCGGGTGAGGCTTGGAGATGATTCCATCATCAAATGCCAGAGCAGCTCCTAAGAGAGCACTTTCCCACTTTGAGCAAAACCCCAGTGCATGCTGGGTACAGTGATAAGTGTGGTGCAATAGGTCGGCGGCGGGGGCTTGGCCAGGTTGACCAATGGAGTCTCACCCCGGGTGTGACATAGCAAGACGTCAGACGTCACTGCAGAGAAGGTGAGAGATCTGAGTCACTCGCTACCATGGGTCCTGCTGAGCAGAGGTGCGCTCAATTGATTACTCGTTCTACAGAAGTATAGGCTGATAGAATTTACCAGAAGGTAAATTCTATCAGCTATCGTGTGCTAACAAAGAGGGAAGCCTGTCGACTCCCAAGGGAGTGCGAGATACAGTTGGATTGTGGAAGATGAGACCTAAGCCTTGGTGACAACAGCGCTCCTGCGGTAAATTTGAGAGGCAGGGGGGTTCTCTCTCCACCTGCAGGCCGTGCACGACGGTGAAGCTGTGTGGAAAATATTTGGTAGCAGTCCTGGTCCGGGGCAATCTAACAACCGCTTACGTGGGAGAAGAATCCACACCACAAAGCTACGTGAGAGGCGGTGGACCAGTATGGGGAGTGTAGTAGTCTTGATAGGCCAGGCAACATCAGTTTCCACCTAACATCTAGCGAGGAACACTTCGTGGAGCGAGCGGCACCAAGGGACTACTCTAGTAGTATATGCAACAGTCCGTGCCAAATGAGGAGTTGCTCACCTACAAGGCAACATCTCAACGTTGTGGCTGTGAAGAAAGAGCTACCCTGCGTGCCTACGACCTGTCAAGTCTACGATCTATAAGGTAGTTAAATTGCCCTCCCATTTTCCCCCTTGTGTTAGGAAAGGTGTTATATACAAGCAAGGTGATTATCAGAAACAGAGAGGAGTGACACCGGATATAAAGCAGTATTACTATTATTAATTATTGTGTACTATTGATTATGTTTTCGTGAGTTGGTTTAATAGTGATTTGAAGGCTACATGCTATTGAAGAGGCATTATAAAATATATTTATTCACATGATATAAGTTTTGGTTAAGAGATAGCCTCACAACGGTCGATTTGGAAACATTGAAGTTTTGCCAGATATTGTGACTAATTGCAAGTGTTGCCATCGAACTGATTTGAAGAGGTTGTTACAGACCAGTATAGTGAAGCCTATTATTAGTAAACAAATTATAATTTTACCAGGTTTCCTTCCTCCTCATTGCTTTTGTGTTGTCGTGGAGTTTACTGTGCACCACACTACTGTTGAAGAAGCACTAGATAGAGCTGTGACATACCACTGTGTTGGAAGTATTACTTGACCATAGAGGAAGGCAAGTCAAGTTGGCAACCTTGTGATTAACCTACTAGGTGGGCAACTTGACCTGGGTAAACCTCGAGTTTCCGTGTCCACAGACACTCCAGCAAGGAAACTAGGGAGTGGGTGAGTTACCTCACTCTCTATGGGGTGCAAGGCTGGGTTCAGTGTGAACTCTGCTATGTAGGTCGACTGAGGTACTCCCAAAGGTGAAGTGGCACCTAGTGGGAGGGAGTAAGGCCCCCCATCAGTGAGGAGCTGTAGTGTGTGCTGCAGAACTCCAGGGCGGACACCGTCGATAGCTCTAGAGGGACATTGACTCCTCTCATGACAGAGTACGCCCGAGTGGAAATTGGCGACTGTCAGAATACCTAGTTGGGGGCCAAGACCTGTCACAACAGGCACGTGTGTGTGCTGGAGTGAGCACATACAGGCTGTGGACGAGCTGGAGTAAGCACATAGGAGGCCCCGACGGCTGAGCGTATAGCGTTCGGGATTCGCAGTCCTACGGTCCGCGGATCAATCCTCGGCGGAGGTGGAAACAAATGGGCAGTTTCTTTCACCCTCATGTTCCTGTTCACCAAGTAGTAAATAGGTACCAGGAAGTTAGACAGCTGCTTCCTGGGTGAGCGTGTTAAAAACAAAAGAAGGTTGTTTGACAGTTGAGAGACAGGCCCAAAGAGCCAGAGCTCAACCCCGCAAGCACAACTAGGTGAGTACATATAGGCACGTGCACGAGCTGGAGTGAGCACTGTTACAGACTTCCAGCCTGTATTCCCCTATTCCTGAATATAAGTGTCATAATTCCCTGTTTGTACATAACTAGTAGTATTTTAGTTTGTTTTTATTACACTTGAGAGGAAGCATGAGGTGCATTTGGGAGAAATACCGATTTTAGTTTTATTTGGGATGAGGCTATCAGGCGTCTCCTTCATATAAATATGGCATAGCGAGGCGAGGATTCCTGCTGAGGGCAAGGCCCTCTGGTGCATTCTGAGTACAGCGTCAGCCGAGGTGTGATTGGTCGGCGACAGGGGCTTGGCTGGGCAGACCAATGGCATCACGTAGGCACAACAGCAGACACTCCCTGCAGGAAGCAAGAGATTTGAGATCACGTGCTACCAGGTTTGAATCCGAATAGATGTGCGATCTAGCGATCAGATGCTTGCGATAGATATAGGCCTCCAGAGTGGTGCAATTTGGGCAGCCGACGTGTACCAACGAAGAGGAAGACCTGTCGACTCCTGTGGGGGTATTGTGGCAGCTTTTTTGGTGTGAGTACGACACCAAGGGCTCGGTGCCGACAGAGACCCCGAGTAAATTGGTGAAGCGGCACTGGGAGGTGTGTTGGACATTCCTGCGGATTGCACAGGTTGGAAGCTTAGAGGAGCCGAAGCAGTAGCAGTCCTGGTCTTCTGAAATTCAACAATCGTTTACCCATGGGATGAGCCTGCATGTGAGGCAGTGGACCAGTGCATCAAGTGTGTTAGTCTGGGTGAGCCAGGCAACAGCAGTCTCAACCTGTCATCTGGGGAGGAATGCCAGGTGTAGGAGCGGCATCCGACAAAGAGAGAGTGAACTGACATCACGGTTGGGAAGGATGCCCTCGGTTGTCATGGATCTACTAGGAGCCACTTGACGCCCCTATGCTGAATCTACGAGGAGCCTCTCAGTGCAACGCTGAATCTACGACCTGCAGTATCGGTCAATAAGGTAGATAATTTTGCCCCTTCCCATTTTCCCTTTGTGTTAGGAAAGGTTGTACATAAATAATGTGAACCATGAATTGCATGTGATATGTCTTTGGAGTTAAGCAGTATTATAGTAATTATGAGGTACCAGTGATTTATATCTTGGAATGGATTAGGCAGTGGTTTAAAGACTACAACTATTGAAAAGGCATTATAATATATCTATGTTAAGTGATATTAGTGTTTACGAGACAGCCGTATACGGGCGATTTTGGGCGACGGTGAAAAGTTGCCAGGTGATATTAATTTCAGGAGTGTTGCCATTTAACAATCCGAGAGAGATTTTGTCAACTGCCTGTGTAGACTATTATCGAGTAAACTCGATTTTTCTAGTCTTCCTTCCTACACTTCATTTCTTCAGTGCGTTGTCGTGAGGGGTTTACTGTGTGCCACACCCTTATGTCAAGAGTACTAGACTGGGAGATATACCATTAAGTTTGGAGTATTATTCAGAAATATGACATACAGTACTCTAAATGTAGTGCACTCATAATGGCCCTTGCTCCCCGTGCCTCTCTGAGTGGACCAGGTTCTGGCTCTCATCTCTGGTGGGCATACAGAACTCCCAGGACTGATGACACCAAACTAATATGGCACATGTCAGTTTGGATACCTTCAGGGAGCAGACAGGGCTCCCCACAGAAAAAAATCCCACTTGATACTTATATATTGACTTTAGTAAGGTTTGACCTGATTTATTTCATTTGATATGATTAGCAGATCTTTCACCCACCCACTCACACAGGATAACTTAGGATTTTGACTATCAGAAAAGAAAAGAAAAGAAATTTACACAACAGCTCGGAGAGCATTACTTTTCAGTGTACACCATCCCCTTGGCTTCATTAAAATATCCTCCTAAAGACAATGTACAATTATGAATTCTAAACAATAGGCATAGATAATTTCTGATCTAAATTATTAATTTTTAGATTTCAATCTCCCTATATATTTAACCGAAAAGAAACAAAATTCCTGTCGAGACAAGAAATCTTGTTTTTTCTTGTTATGGATGAAGCCAAAACACCCATGTTATGCAGTATACTCTGTATATATAGTTTAATTACATTCCACTGCAACTTTATCAAATATCTTGCAATGACACTGAAACAGCCAAAACTTCATGACAATACCATCACTATGAAGATTAATATCAACGCAAATTAAACGGGCTGGAATATTAATTTGGACATGTCTCACAACTTAATAAATAATTCACTGCTGCTCCCCCAGTACCTGCTTCACACATGACAGCAACCAGCCACGTCATCACAGCCACGTTGAGCTACCAGTGTCTACCGACAGTACTGCTCAGGGCACACCTCGGCTTTTCTCTCTGGTTGTCACTTCTGGCCCAACACAACACAAGGTTCACCAGTACTGACTCATTAGCCAAGAAATTAAGACTGTGCTTTAAATAAGTAATAGCAGATAATGAAGGCCGAGCAAAAACAAGGAATATGCCCGGAAGCGTACGAAGGATTGTCCGAGTACAAGCAGTAATGGGGATCGGGTTCAGTGTGACCATGGCATACACTGTCCTCATTATGGTGAAAATCCCTAATATAGGTCACTGAAAAATTATTAAAGGATAAATTAGTTTTCTGGTATTTATTTTGAACTCCAAACACAAAATATGGTTCTCTCTACCTTTTCACTTGTGGCAGTCAACTACTGAGCAGATTCAAATCTTGTCCTGCACACTTTGATGTGTCAGGTTTGCTGGATTTGCTCTGATCCTGACCTGAGTTATGGTTGAATTCACCTTGGTCTCTCTTGCCAATCTTCCACTCTTCCAAGGCAACCAATGGATTTTTAACAGGTTGGACAAAGTCCTCTGTCAACTTTATCTTCAGCTATTTAATAATGGCTGATAATTATGATGCTAAATTTGTCACTCCCATTCAGTGGTTCCTGGTGGCTTGGAAGTAAGGTCGTAGAGCACACGACTTAAGCCTGGAACCCCAAGTATTTCTGCTACCATCTTGTTTACAAGCTGAAATGAAAACAATATTATACAACTGATTAATATTAACAAAATACAATTATTGAAAAACTTTATAAGCAAATATGAACAAAGGGACTAACTTTAATTATGTGAGAACCATTCAAGACCACTATACCATAACCTCTTGAGATGTGTAGTTATCTATGTGTAATTAACCAAGTGTAGTTACAGAGCTATGCTCACAGTGTCCAGTGTCACAGTGAACATGTAGCCAAGTTCAGTGCCCTGAACTTGGCTAAATGTGCCTGCCATTACATGTTACATCACATCTCTTCAATATAAATGTGGCTAATATACCAGCTTAATAACATTTTGGTTTTGGTATAAAAGTATGTGAAGAATTAAGACTCCTCCTCACACCTCATCAGTGGCATGCACAACATAATACTAAAGCCTCTACAGACAGGAAAATAAATAACCTGTACAGCCAGCTGTCACAGTACAGTATTTGCCGAGACAAATAATGCCTTTATAAATAACTTCTTAGAATATACACATTAGCAAATACAGTACAGTATATATAACAGCAACGTGTTCTATCACCTGCTTGCCTAGAAAAAATTACAAATGACAAAAGCAAAAAACACAATCTAACCCCCGTAAAAGGTATGGTAGTGCTCATAGCAACAATTTAGTTGAACATACCTGTATGTACTGTTCAACCTCAAAAGTTGTCATATTTTGTATTTTTAATTTATAATCAAAGAAAAAATGTAAAGGCAAACATTGCTAGGGCTATAATAGCACACATGTATAATAGTAGGTTTAAGACAGTGTGCATTATATCTAGGATTACTTGGCCAGGATACATTGGCTTACGTTAACTTCTCTAGTTACATTTCAGATTCAATAGAATGTCATTTGGGCCAATTCACTAATATAAAATGTGAACTTTTGGGTTCCTACACAAAGTAGTAGTACATTTAACCAAGTAATTGCTATAGGTACTATTATTTTATAAAGGTGGGCTGAAAAAATGGCAAAAACATTTAGAGACCCAAAACAAGTCTGGTTCAAAGAGAGCATTTGAGCCAAGTTCCTGAGTGCAGCCCTAACATAATACTTCATTAAATAAGCGTAACCATACTGTACTTGTAGTGTTTAGGGTTAATCCTCATTAAGCCATGAAGGACTTAATAACATTGCTCAACACTGCATTACTGTACCAGACATGCGGCACATGCTAGGTCAAAGATAACCAAGCATGTAATAAGGCGTCTGGATAATCACTCATGGTACTATATTTCTCACTTTCATGGGCAAGTGGGGCATCAGCTCGGACACAATGACAGGCCATTCCCACCCCCCATCTCATCAGGGCTGGGATGGGGGGAGGGGGGGTTGATAAATAAACATCCTCCATATTACACACCAAAGCAACAAGCAACACCCAATTAATTCATACAACGAGTTGTAAAGTATTTCTTGTACGTCATTAATGAAACACTTAAGAGTTCTTTTAAATGGCAAGAATTTTCTGTATGTGAAAATATTATAATGTGTATGTAAGAGTAGTGTAACAAGTGACTGGTTTGATATTAAATCTTCAGATGGTGATAACCGCATTACCCTGTGAATCAACAGTTGACGATAGCCACTGTCTATGGGTTAGCAATTATGATGGTCAAGACAGCAGACCATCAAGTGGCCCAATGCTTAGTGCTCTTTGGCTACTCTCAATGCTGGATCATGTAAGAGATCTTGATCCCCACCCCACCTTGTTGTTTCACTCAACACCATTAATCAACACACTGCCTTTCTTGGCATCCCCTTCTTTATGTATTTATATTTGTATGTTTTTTCTTTTCTACTTTATTTGTCCACATTTACCGAGTGTAGTCCTCATTCCTTTCACAGTTCACCTGTACATGACATTAATATGTTCTCCCCATATCCCAACCTTCCATGCTGATTGCCTGGTCTGTGAAGCCCATTATCTTCGCAGCACACAAGCCCACGTTGCCTTCAAAATCACCAAATCTTTACTGTGACAGCAAAATCAGTAATAAGACTCATCTGAAATGTAAAACATGCTTCCTCAAGAATGTTAACACTATCACACTCGGTGGTCCGAATGTGCGCCCACTATTTTTCTCGAGAGTCCTAGCGGTGGTCAAGTGCTTGCGTCCAATATTAAAAATATTTGTTAAAAATTTAAATTTTATCCGCTCAATCTGGGAGTAGTTTCAAAATGAGCGCCTTTAGATTGAGCACAATTGAATACCATAATGATGATGTAGTCTGACAATTCAGGTCAGAACACTGGAGAGATTATAAATGCTTTTGTGGTGATGAGCATTCAAACTTAAAATATTTGTTAAAATTCCATTTACTGTTCTATTATTATGGGACTAGTTTTAAAATGTGCGTCTTTAGATTGTGAACAATTTGATACCAAAATGAAAGACGTAAAACGAAAATTGATGTTATCAAACTGAACGAGTATACACATTAGGTTGCGGGTGAGCCAATTGGGGCTCGTTCACAAGTAATGGTTCGCCGACTTTAGGCTATGCTGTGGGGAGTCACGCCAAGGTTTTGGACCTTATATGCATACATCCCTGTAGGGAATTCTATTGCGAACATAATGATACCAAAACGAACGACGTAGCATGAGAATTAAGGCGAGAGCACTGAAACGAGTATACACATTTCGGTGTCGTAGCACGCTCGCCTGCAACATCGGGAGCATGACGGCAAAGTCTGCAGCACGCACGCACCAAGCACGAGTGTTAAATTAATATCTTGAACTACCTTCCTTCCCAAGTACAGTAGTTTGTCAACTTGGCACCGGTGTCTAGACTAACCTCTACTGGGATGTGTTTGCCTGGCAGTGCAGGTATACCAGTCATGAAGTCATGAGTGATGAAGGGTCTCAGCACCACCGACCGCTGGCAGGAAGGCAAACGTGTCACCGGGTCTCGGTCAAAATGTACAGGTATTAATATTATGGGCATTTGTGCCAACTTCTCGGTGAATCCCGACTCTGCCAGTACCTGCAATAAAGGATTATGTACAGTAGATGAGCAGTAGGGAAGCCAGACTTCTAAAGATACCTTACCTATATAAAACCAACACTCAATTTCTGAAACAAAAGTCATGTTTGTGTGTGGATTGTACCTGGAGTGAGATGTGCAAGTTGTTGTTCTAGCCAGGCTCAATCTGTGAGCTTGCTCCAACACAATGTGGCTTGAAGCACCCCACACCATTTGTCACTCTCCACATGACCATAGTATACCATATTAAAATAGCAGCAATTAGGCATGAAAGGTCATTATAGTTTATGAATTACTGTTTATACAATTCAGTAGTTTTATCCTAAAGTAGTTTATATTCTAAAAATTAAAAATTAAAATAAAGTATAATTCATTGTTTCATTTATCCCAAAACCAATTTTTAACCAGTTTCATACATCCATTAATCATCCTAACCCATTTCTCAATTCCATTTATTACAAAGGAATAGTGGGCCTGTGAAAGTAATCCATTTATATAAATAAAGTCAATGCTAGCATTTAGTAATTCAACTTACAACTGCTGGAACACAAAAATTATGAAAAAAACATGAATGCCTAGCATTTTTGGCCAACTTAAGTGACAAACCTACATATATTCTTTTTACTTCAATTATGAACCAAATTAAGATTTAATCTACAATAATAGCCTTTCACCATCGAATTAAATACATAACTGTCAAAATTGCCTTTCACCATCGAATTAAATACATAACTGTCAAAATTGCAAGTCATAGGCATTATATAGGTCTCTAAAATCCCATCCTGTGAGGATATCAGTCCTCTACGCATACTTTATGAAAAATATTTATACAAACCCACAAAGGTAAATATGAAAAGCGTTCATACCTGATTGGCGAGAAAGTCTGCTTGTCTTAATGTGGCAAGAACGCCGGGGGTTAAATTAGTCTGAGTGACGTCTTGCACGAGATCTTTAACAGCACCACCAAATACAAAGCACACTCTGAAAGAGATAAGTTTTCACTAATACAAATTATAACTAGGATAATGCTTGCCATAATGGACAAACAAATAAGCTTCCCAATTTCAGAGAATTGAGTCATCGCCATATAGAATACAGAGCAGTAAGTAGTAGAGGAAAAGACAGCTAAACATATTTATAAATTAAATCCCCCAATTAACTCATCCTTCTTACTCTGCAGGATCGTGACGCACCAAGACTTAACATAATCTACAGCATTAACTAGGTAAACGCTTCATAAGAATAGGTCTCTTGTGCTAATATGCTAACAATATTCATTCTCTCTCTTCACAAACTGCTGCAACTAAGTTTTAAAGTTTGTTGTTCTCTTGCACTCAAACTTCAAGAAGGAAATAAATAAATACAGGCAAAACCAAAAGGTCAAAGGGCATGGCAAAGAAGGAAAGTACAGGGTCAGGAAGGCACATACGAAATATAGAGAACAGGGCGCACAGCTCATCAGGGAAGTCTAGGAACCAAATATGAGTATACAAAGTCAGGAGAGGTACTGAAAAGTTATTTGAAATGGATAGTGGCAAAAGCAAAGGCCCAGCCCAAGTTAATTTGTTACATAAAATTAAAAATGTCAAAGATCATGTGATTAGATAAGGGAAAGAAACACCACTATGGTAAATGACAAGATTTATATGATTAATTTATGTTACAGAGTTCAGTCCTGTATTCCCCTATGCCTGCATACAAGACTCATGACTTTCTGGTTGTACATAACTAGAAGAACTTATTAGTTGATTTTATACACTTAGGAGAAAGACTGTTGAGGCATTAGGGAGAAATGGCGATTTTTAGTTCATTGGGATGAGGCTTCAAGAGTCTCCTCCATGGGAAATATGGCAGAGCGGACTCAGTGAGAGGCGGTCTTCGCCGTCCAGTGGGCGAGGATCCCGGTACATTAAGGGAGCAGCACGAGCCAAGACGTGATTGATCAGTGGCAGGGGATTGGCGAAGTTGACCAACAGCATTGTGCCCCGGGCGTGACGTTGCATGACATCAGGTGCCCCTGCATGAAAGCACAAAAGAGCTGACTACCGGGGTGTCAAGCGGAGGGGAAGTGTGCGCGTGAGCTCACCTGTCTGGGAGATGAATAGATCTTCAGAGGGTACAAATCGGGCAGCCAACATGTACCAACGACATGGAAGACCCATCATCCTCTGTGGGAGTATTTTGGGCAGAACTTTGCTGGTGTGAGGACGACACCAGGGGCTAGGTGCTGACAAGTGACCCGAGAACTTTGTGAAATGGCGCAAGGAGTGTTGGACATTCCTGCAGGCTGTGCACGTCAGAAGCGGTGTGGGGCCAAATCAGTAGCAGTCCTGGTTTGTGGAATCTCAACGATCATTTACCCAGTGACGAGGCTGCGTGTGAGGCAGCGGACCAGTGTGTTAAGTCTGGGTGAACCAGGCTACAGCAATGTCAACTCGTCATCTGGGGAGGAATATCTAGCTGGGAGCAGCGCCTAGCAAGGAACGAGCAAGCAGATGGTATGATTGAGGATCCGAAAGATCCACGCCAAAAGAGCAGAGCTCAACCCCCACAAGCACAACTAGGTGAATACAAGGTATCGTGGATATAGAGGGGTATCATCGCGAAGCAGAATCTATGACCTGCAGTATCAGTTGATAAGGTAGGGAATTTTGCCATTCCATTTTCCCCCTTGTGTTAGGAAAGGGTGTACATAAATAATGTGATAACCTTGAATTACATGTGAGGTGACACTGGACTTATTGCAATAATATTTTAGATAGGAGGTACCAGTGATTATATTATGGAGTGGATTAGGCAGTGGTTTAAAGTCTTCAAACTATTGAAGAGGCTTTATAATAATATCTATTTATGTAAAGTGATGCCAGTGTTTGTGAGACGGCCTCAGATGGTTTTGGGGGTGACAGTGAAACGTTGCCAGATGTATTAATTTCAGCAGTGTTGCCATTCAACAGATTTGAGGGGAGATTTTGCCTATTGCCAGTGTAGACTGAGTAAACCCATCGATTTTATTAGTGTGTTTACTTCCTCCCCTCCACTCTCTTTATTGTGTTGTTGCGAGAGATTTACTGTGCACCACACCATTATTGTGAAGGTATGAGACTGGGGGATTTAAATACACCACTCAGTTAAAGTATTACTTGGCCACGGAGCAGAGCGGGTCAAGTTGGTGACCTTGAATGCACACCTAAATCCGAGTTTCATGTCCACGGACACCCCAGCGAGAGGAAACTAGGGGTTGATAGCGTTAGCTCACTCCTTGTGGGAGCAAGGCCGGGTTCGGTGAAGGAACTCTGACCAGTTGGTGACCGAGGTGTTTCCCCAGTGGTGAACAGTGGCACCCAAGGTGGGGGAAAAGCAAGGAGCAAGGCAAAGCAAGGCTTCCAATCAGCATGGAGCTCTGAGCAGAGGGTGCTAAGGTACTCCAGGGATTCCACCGGGCTGGTTGATCAGGGGTCAAGACCCACAACACACAGCACCCATAACCGACATTAAATTGTATAATACTGTAGTCAGTGGAGGTAAAAATACACCTGGAGGATTCAGATGCTGCAGGAGCAATATGGTCACACCAGATATCAACATGGCTGTTGGAGGAAGATGCAAGGGGTACAGTACCGTGTTATCTGCTAGACAGAATTTTAAATAAACCACTAAACATACTTCAGACTGTGAGCAAGGCACACAGGCACGTAACAGCCTGGGTGACCAGCCTGGTCTCTGACCACCAGGTCAGAGACCGGGCTGTGGGGGACATTCCCAGAACCAGTAACAGGTGGATGACAAGTAGGCAGACTGAGCAACTCTTATAATCCAAAGAAAGGCAAATGCAGGATCAAAAGTCAAGAAAAAGTACAAAAAACAACTGAACAATAGACCCCTGTTACTATCAATACATGCAAATTACTGGAGAAAAATATGTATGAAAATGAACACCACAAGGATAAATTTTGCACTGGAGACAATATGGGTCCAGCTGGGAAAGGACATGTAGACTACATTTGTCTTGACAGAAGGCATCTGATTCTGTACCTTGTTAAAAGTTGCAGTGTAAGATGGGGAGGAAAACTGGCATAACTGGAAAGACAATGAACTTATTGAGTACATGACAGGCAGGAAACTAGAGGGTTACAGCAAGAATGGAGATGACAGACTTGACAGATGTAGGAGGAAGGATACCTCAAGACTATAGATTCAAAGAGTAATTCTGCATGAACTTGATAAATTAGAAGAGGACAGACCAATGGCCGCTAGAGTTCAACATCCAGTGTAAAGCACCAAAATGAAACAATGTCACAAAAGACCAGAAGTAATCTACACCATAAGGAAAAGGCAACTACTATACTGAGAAATCACAAGAGAATAACCAATAGATGTGGATATAATTCCGGCATTAAAACCGGAAGTGCACAAACAGGTTAACACATTTGCTCTCCGTTGCCTCTGCCAAGAGTCACTTAATTTTCTCTCGAGCCCTCTTGGGTGACTCCGTCCAGAGTCACTCATCAAAATAAAAAAATTGTTGTTAAAAATTCAATTTTTATCCGATCAACTTCTGGGTGGTTTCAAAATGAGCGCCTTTAGATTGCGCACAATTTGATACTAAATTGATAGATACAAAAATGAAAGATGTAACACGAAAATTGATGTAAGAACACTGAAAAGATATAAATAATTTTGCGGTGTTGAGTGTCCAAAAGTTAAAATATTTGTTAAATTTCCATTTATTGTTCAATTATTATGGGACTAGTTTTAAAATACATGTCTTTAAATTACAAACAATTTGATACCAAAATGAAACACGTAACACGAAAATTTATGTTATCAAACTGAATGAGTATATGCATTAGTCTGCAGGTGTGCTAATTGGTGCTCATTCACAGGAAACTTGGCCCACTTTAGGCTTTGCTGTGGGGAGTCACACCGGGCTTTTAGACCTTATATGCACATACCCCTGTAGAGAATGCTATTGCAAACACAATGATACCAAACTGAACAACGTAGCATGAGAAATAAGGTGAGAAAACTGAAACGAGTATACACATTTTACCGATTTTGCACGCTCACGGGTAACTTTGCCAAATTTAGGCTTTGCTGTGGGGAGTTACAGCGAGCTTTTAGACCTTGTATGCATATACCCCCTGTACAGAATTCTATTGCGAACACAATGATACCAAAACGAACAACGTAGCACGAAAATTAAGGTCAGAAAACGCATGACGTCAAAGTCTACGGCACATGTGCGCACCGCGTGCGAAAGTGTTAACAATGGCAGCATATGGGAGAATGTTATTCAAAATCTAAATAAAGACTATTCTTACAATTTACACAGACTACATGAGAACAACACTAAAATCTGCAGCACTGTTACTGAATCCACACCACAGGTTACCAATTAACTATGGTGTTCAACATTACACTAGAAATAGGAAGCTACTGGAAATCTGGAAATTCAATATTCAAGGACAGACATGTCACTAAACCTTAAACCAGTCTCCTTAATATACATTCCTTGCAAGATTCTAGTAAAAGTAACCAGAACAGGACTTGGGGGAAAGTAAATTTAGTGAGGCAGAACATAGCTTCAGAGGGAGGAAAATCATGCATGACAAACTTGATTGAATTCTATAAGGGCCAATATAATAAGACAAGAGAAGGATGAGTAGACTGCATCTTTCAAGACTGCCAAAAAGCTTTTGATACAGTTCATCAAGAGACTAATACACAAGATGTAGAGAGAAGCAGGGATAATGGGAAAGGCACTGGACTGGGGTTGGGAGTACATGACAGATAGGAAACAAAGCATCAAAGAAAGGCTGTATCAGGCTGAAGAAGAGTGGAAAGTGGTGTTCCACAGGGCTTTCTCTAGGATTATTGTTCCTTTTTATTAACGTAAATAACCTCACAGAAGGCATGAGTTTGTACATGACTGTTTGAAAATGATGCAATGTTAATGAGGAAAGAAAGAATTTAAGAGGATTGTAGGGCACTAGAAGAACAACTTGACAAGCTTCAGGAGTGAGCAGATAAAAGGAAATTCAATCCAAATAAGTGTAAAGTTATGAAAATGGGCTTAACACTTTCACCCGCCCGGCTAAGGTTAAAAAAAAAAAAGCGGTATGTGCGTGCGGCGTTTTTGTCGCTTAAGCGTCAAAACAAAAATGTGTATACTCTTTTTACTCTCCTGACCTTAGTTCTCGAGCTACGTATATATTTTGGTACCAACGTGTTCGCAATAAAATTCTCTAGAAGAACATCAGTAAAAAAGGTCACGAAAGGTATAGGGATACCAGCACCAAATAAAAACCTACGTAGATGACTCGCCGTGAGCGCCCAACAGCAACAAAATGTTTTTACTCTTGGGATTGTTATCACCTCCACACTTGTCCTACAGCGTTAATTTTGGTATCAATGGACTCGCAATGAAATTCCCAACACGGTGATATGAATATAAGCGTAGAATAATGGTCGCAGCCCACCCGCAAGAGTGTGGGAAGTGGCGGAACTGTTACCCGGTGTCGGTGACGCGACGACACATGTGCGATACGGCGCTTTGAAAGTTTATACTTATTTCACTGTCCTGACATTATTATTCTATGTATGTCATTCATTTTTGTGCCAATGCGTTCGCAATAGAATGTTCTATGAGCCCGTAAGTAAAAAAGATCAACAAAGCGTAAGATAGAATGGCGCCAAATATAAAAACGCTGGAACATATCAGTGAGCGTCAAACACACACGAAATGTTTTTACTGTTATGTTTGTCAAGTTTATACTTGTTGCACAGTTATTTTTGGTTGTACATTGATCGGAATAAAATTCCCTAAACAGACATATGCATATAATACATGATATGGGGGAAGCATTACCAGTATAAACGGCTAAAGTCACCCACCTGCAACCCGTTTGGGACACTCATGCAGACACACGCTACACCCCAAAAAAATCTATGAAGGTTCGAGTCTACTTACGGCAGTTTATGTGATAGTGTTCATTCTGGTATCAAAATACTCGTTTCAGTTTGTAGTTCATGCGATTTTCAGAATCAACTGAATCGCTGGAGGTTCAACATTTGAGTCAGAGTCAGAGTCATCTGACAAAACCGTCTCGTCAAATGGCAGTGTGCCAGACATCTCGGGTTCTGATTCGGTTGCTGCTTCAGCTTGAGGTGTTGAAGTGAACAAAGGCCACCTCACACCAGATGGTCCGGGAGTTTGCATGGCGTCAGCATGGGCAGGACCTGTGTCATCATTTATGTCTGGAGCGTGCCGCAAGTGTTGAGATACTGTTGCTGTTTGAGGCCAATCTTCTGGGTCCCAGCGCAATAGGGCCCAAATTGCCACCTCGTGGAACTGTAGCAATGTTAGCTTTTTTTGATCAGTTGTGTTGTATTTGTACAAAACAAAGGCATTATGCAATGCCATTTGCAGGAAATAAATGTTATCTTTTAGGTCCACTTGTGAGTTTTCCTGGTAAAATGGTAATACCATTTGATCGAAGTGGTCCACACCTTTCATGAACTTATTGTACCATGCAGCCTAGTGGTGAGAAAGAGAGCCTCATGGCGCGCAGTTTGAAACAAACCCAAAGTAAATCGGATTAAAATTGAATTTTATACAAATATTTTTTTGAGGACATCATTTTATGTCTACATTGCGGAAGCGGTTAGGCAAACAGGACTCCAGGTTATGTCCTGATCCACATAAAGTGTTAAGGGAGGTAGAAGCCTTTAATTTTTGGTTACAACATGGGAGGAGAAAAAATACCTGCAACACTAAGATCAGAAACCTATGTGAACACGATAACATCGGCAGGACACGTGAAGTTAGCAAACATAAGAACGAAATTTATTGGCATCAGCGTCGGGATAATTTAATCCAATTAAATTTAATCCAATTAAATTTAATCCAATGTTAATTTAAGAAATGGATTTTATACGAATAAAAAAAAACAGTGCCAATCGGTACTGATGATGATGCCACCACCTAGTTAGTGGAACTCATGGATAACGCATTGATAAAGAGATGCTAGCACCTGTCTGACGCACAAAGAAGAGTAGTACAGGTAGTAAGGAAAGTCCACAAGTGGATATGCAGCTGGTGCCTTCTAGCATTATTGAGTGCCAACTGGAGGGCAAAATTTCACACAAATAATAATGAGTACGTTATTTCCCTGTATTTTATATATCATATAAATACATTGCCCAATGCCAATATTTCTTATGTCCACCAATTATTGTTGTTGTTGTGGGGAGGGAGGGGGGGGGGGGGAGAAGAAGAGCACCTGAAGGAACTGAACCAGACGACACTATAAAAAAGAAGGGCAAGGGGATACATGATCTGAAGGTTATCTTGAGACGATTTCGGGGCTTAGCATCCCCACGGCCCAGTCCTCGACCAGGCCTCCTTTTTGTTACACATCCCTAGGAAGCAGCCCGTAGGAGCTGTCTAACTCCCAGGTACCTATTTACCACTAGGTGAACAGGGGGGCACCAGAGTGAAAAGCTCTGACCTTTTGTTTCTGCCTCTACCAGGGATTGAACGCAGAACCTCAGGACTACATATCCCAAGTGCTGTCCACTCAGCTGTCAGGTTGATTGGACAGAGGACATATATATACAGAAAAAAACGTATATACAGGTATGCTGATTAGCATTGTAAATGTGTGGCAATGTCTATGGTAGAGAAAGAAAAAAAAAAAGGGAGGGGGAGGGTTTCAATGTATACACAGTATAACAAAATCCACGAGATAAAAAAGCCACATACAGTTTGACTATGGGGCAAAGTTCACAAGATGGATCCACTCCCCACAATCCTAATTACCCATATTCACACAAAATATTTCTCAGTAAAGACTAGCCTAGAGTAAAAATGGTCTACCGATTGATGTTGTGGCAGATTTTGGGTATAAGACGTGCTAGTACGACCAAATCTTCCCATACAGGCTCTGAGTCACAGGAGAGGGCAGATACATAGCTGTAACTTCGGCAGTCTCCCTGTAAAGAAAAAAAAAGAAAGTTAGTCTTGGCAATTCAACTAAGAATTTTAAAACCCTTAATACTACTCTGCAAAATGTTTACAATTAAAATCATTCAATTGTTTCTTACTTTCATGGAATAGTAGCTTAATATAAAAAAAATGCCAATGCAAGTATGTTTTAAACTACATAGGGACGAAGGGAATGACTGCCAAGAAACCTCGTACTGTTGCTGAGAAGACCACAGGTGGGACACCACCAAATCGGGCCCCTGATCACCATACAAATGGTGATAAACGTGCATAAAAAATCAACCCGTTCTCGCAAATTCGTAAAGTCAATATTGACTTATTAACTACGTGCATAGGTGATATACTAAACATAATAGATACCCTTAAAAAGATTCATAGAAAACACCGACCTTACCTAACCTTGTTAGTATCTTAAGATAAGCATCTTATTGCTTCGTAATTACAATTATTACTTAACCTATACCTAGTATAGGTTAGGTAATAATTGTAATTACTTTTTTATTACTATTATTTATTATTTTTATTATTTTGTATTACTTTTTAAGGGTATCTATTATGTTAAGTATGTCACCTATGCACATATTTAATAAGTCAATATTGACTTATTAAATTTGCGAGAACGGGTTGAAAAAATTCAGACGCGTAAAGCGGAAGAGAAGGTCAAACCAGCAGGGTACGCAAATTCCCTGACCCAAGAAAGAGGCGGAGGTGCGGAAAGATGCCTGGGTGCAGACACCGGGCAAGAAGCTGGCCACCATGGTACCAGAAGAATCACTCCCCTCTTGTAAGACTTCAGCTGCGTCAGCACTCAGAGTAACAGTCGGACCAGGAAAAGAGGTAAAGGTACCCCACCATGACCAATCCAGTCGAAAGGCGGCCACACCAACATGAAAAGGTCAACGTCCGGGCAAAGTCAGAGGAAGAAATCGACATCAACTGTCCATTCTGTGGAAAGAGGAAAGAAGTGGGACAGACCATTGGCCAGGAGGCTGAACACTCCCGGAATATGAATGGTGCAGGCAGAGATGCAAACCCTGAGAACTCGTCAGAAGTGTCACTTGCAGTGAGCAGCCCCAAAGAGCCACCCTCCCCGTTCCCTCTCGTGGAGACAATGAACCACGAGTGAATAGTCCGACTGGAGCTGGATCACCAAATCCGGAGGAATCCAAACTCTCTGCAGCGCCTGTCACACAGTCGCAAACTCCCGCACCTTACTGTGTGCCCGACGAAGGGAAGGGCACACAGTGCCCTTCACAGTGCTTGCCCACAGTGCCAATGGCCCAGGCCAGACTGGTGAGCACTGGTCACAAAGCTCCAACTGATAGCTGAGGCATCCATAAAGATGTCGAGCGAGGGAGAGGAGGAAGGCGCCACAGCACCAAATCCTGAAAAACCCGAAGAGGAAGCCAGCAATGCAGCAACCAAGGGACACTGGAGGACACACCAAGTGATTGCAAGTGATTAAAGGGGCTGCCCCCGCAGGTACAGGCATCTGTACCCAAACCATGCCCAGAGAGTAAACCAGAAGAGCAAAGTTCAGACTCCAGTACAGCTGTTTAAGCAATCGCCATGTCCCCCTGGTTCCCTTCAACACTAACAGAAGGCGAGACCGCAGTCAGCGCAAGGCTGCAGGAGGTAGAGAAATCAATGCCGACTGAGAATCTCTAATTCAGCCCCAACCAGGTCCAAACCTGAGACAGAACCAATTGGGACTTCCGCTAGTTTCACTTCCAACCACACCAACCAGTCATTGAGGAATCTCTCTTAAGGTTATCTGGAGATTGGTAATCTTAAGATCTTGATTTTGGGGCTTAGTGTCCCTGTGGCTCAGTCCTCAACTAGGTCTGCTTTTTGTTACACACCCCCAGGTTAGCAGCCCATAGCAGCTATTTAACTCCTAGGTACTTATTTACTGCTAGATGAACAGGGCATAAGGGTGAAAGAAACTCTGCCCATTTGTTTCCGCCTCCACCGGGGATGAACCCGGAACCTTTGGACTATGAATGCCTATCACTGTCTACTCAGCCAAAACCCAAAGACAGGCCACCACGACTCAAGTCGTGCATGTAAAGACACGACGTGCTAGATTCAACATGAATGGAGAACCTAAAAGCAGCAAGCCTGTTGCCCCACAATGAAACTTAACCAATCCCTGAACCTCGGATGAATAGGGAGGTGCCAATCAGCATCAGATTGACAACATCAATCAGCATCCTGAAGGTGAAGGGAAATCATCCAAGAGCCCGGCTTGAGAACGAGTCGAACCTGGGACAAAGTAGTCATCCGAAAGGAAGGGCACAGCATCAACTGGTTCAGATTGGAAAAGTCAAGAATGTCCAGGTTTTGAACAATCCTGTTTCAGGACCGGAAACAGACGGGAAACGCACACAAGAGACGAGGGCATTTCGACCACGCCCAAAATTAATTAATTATAAAAGCACCCACTCAAAGATAACTCAACAAAGGCTGGGAGAGAGTGCCTGCCCGAAGAGCCCCAAACCCCCAAATTAAGGCAGGACGACCTAACTCCACCGCAGGCTGAAGGACATGACCCGAAACGACCAAGAATCATGTGACCAAGAGCGGGCAAACCGAGCAAACCTCTCCCCTCATCGCTTCGTCAATAGGGCGACCCACGAAAGGGCCGGTGTGAACCACGAGAGCCAGACCTCCGAGCAGAGCAAGCACAGCGTCGATCAAAGAGAAATCGAAATCGAAGGCTGGTGGAAACGTATCTGACCCCGCCTGTCAGCACCACAGAGGCCCCACCTCGACCAACCACATTTTTACCCGTTCTTCATTGACTACTATATTGCTTGTTGTTTCTGATCATTTGTTCCTTTAAGAAGCCATCTTGAATGTTTTGTCCAGTTAGTCACACATTTCCTCATCACTGAGAATATTTCCTTATCTCCTCAATCCTGAGGGCACAATTTTTTATATAGTTCTTTTCTTAATACACTACTACAGAACAACCTCAGTTATCATCTTTTGCCACTATGTTTGCTTTGAAATTGCTGCTCTCCGACCTCCAGTGTACCAATTTCTGGTTCACTCTATTGTCCCTCTAACACTGCCTGTGCCAGGTTCCCCGTACTTTTCAATGCCCTTCTGGTCCTGTCTTTTCCTTTTGCTACACTGCCAACTGATACGAGGGCTTTATTGCTTTTTCTTCCAGTTCCTTATCAAGTGACATGAACTGTTCTGTATCAGCACAATTCTGGACTATGTATTTTATTTGCTCATTTCCCACCTTCGCCTTAAACTTATTATTCCTTTACACCTCCTATCAGAAGACTCTTCCCCTCCTGGTGTCCCCAAGTCTGTTGTCTCTTCCTGCATACAACCCGTTTCTTGGTCTAAACCCGTCCCTCAGCTTCATGTAATCAAAAATACAAATGCTCAGAAATTGTCAGATATACTGTAAGTATTTACATAACTGTTATGAGGGCTGAGCAGGATGGGAGGAATATCTGCTACACAAGAATTATGACATTTATAAGTTGTATTACAATCTGGGCAGAAGACTAAAAAAAGCAATATGCATTAAATAATACTGTACTTAAAGTTTGAAGCAATTATTGCACAAAATTTCGAGAGAATACAATTATTTCAACTACTACAAATGAATTTTCAGTTATAAAACTATGAAGATATGATAATAAAAACTTACATAGCATATGGTACAGTTCTAATACAGTACACAATTACTAAAATATAAAAATAAAAAATTCACCACTTAAAAAACAAGAATTTACCTTCATAAATTTGAAGACTTCCAATGTTATCATTTACAACCAAAATTACTCTGATTATTCAGTGGTATCAGGCCAAGGGTGTAGAAAATCTTGGAAAATTTACACATTTATTTATGATATTGCTCAGGATCAACTCGACCCACGACTTAACCACTTAACACTTTCGCTCACCCCGCACGCCACCCCTCAATAGTGCGACATGGGACCCAGGGTGTCACGGGAGCGCGCGTAAATTCTGAAAAGTGTATACTCTCTTCAACTTTGTTACCTTAATTCTCGTCCTACGAGATTAAATTTGGTATCATTGTGTTCGCAATAGAATTCTCTACAACACTAAATGCATATAAACTCCAAAAGCCCGGCTAATTACCCGCAGCAAACAGAGAAAGTGCGAACGAGTTACCCAGGAGTGCGCAAACGTGATAAAATGTTTTCACTATTTTCACTGGTCACCTCAATTTTTGTCCTAGGTCTTTCATTTTGGTCTCAATGGGTTCGCAATAGAATTCTCTAGAAGAACATTAGCATATAAAATATAAAACCTGGTCACGCTCCAACCGCCGACGAGTTGAAGACGGGCCACGCGTTAGCCGCAAGTGAGCGCTCAGACGCCTTCCAGCTACACTCCCAATTCCCTTCCTTTTCAAGCCTTTCTTTCGCAATTTTCTTCCTGGAAGGGCCTTGTTCATGATCACTATCCATCGTGAAGTAAGCGTAGATAGTTTCTAAAGCCGCAGTAAGAAATATAGCCACGGAAAATAGACGAAATGTTCACACGTTTGAGATGCGAGGGGAGGCGACATTGGTCACAACAGTGGAGCGAAAACAATGGGCCCACGGCATGTGCCAAGCCACCTGAGGGCCACGAGGCTCAACAAAGAAAATGGGAAGACATCGGCGCACATTTTAAAACCAGTCCCAAAAAAATCGGATAAAAACCTGATTTTTGGCGATTATTTAAAGTGGATGACGCAATGCTGCGTCATCCCCGGTATTACCGCCAGTAAACGGATGACGCAATGCTGCGTCATGCCCGGGCGAAAGTGTTAACTGTGCCAACCGACTATTCTCGGTCGGCGGGAAACTGCGCCAACCAAGAAAACTCTCTGATTTTTTGGTACCAATTCTAAATGTGTACGAGGTTGGTTGTGTACGAAATGGACCTCCAGTGAGAAGCAGCCATCTTGGAAATTATTCCTGGAATGCCCTAGGGCTGTTGGCTGGGTTAGTACTGAATGAGCAACCATGGGTGGCTCCCAAACACCTGTCCAACGCGGTGTTGAAAGATAACGCTCTGTCTGTGAAATTCAAACCTTATTGTTTGAAGAACATAAGGGTCATAATATTGGTGAAGCTAGGCGCAATAAGGTCCCAACACAAAGGTCGGATGCAAGTGATACAGCACCTATGAGGACGATACAGCGAGAGTATCCAGTTGTAGCTCTGAGCGTCACCCTTGCAATGCTATGCTATCTACAATTTATTTACATGATACATAGATGAATCATTTTCTGTGTTCAGTGGTGATGCATCTGATACAAATAGCATAGATGAACAGTGTTAGCGACTTCCATGGTGGTGTTTTCCATAGATATTTTCAAGAATACCTGAATCTCTTCCTGATGGGCACTCTTTGAGCCTAGCTGAATCTCTTTCTGACAGACGGACACTCTTGAGGTAAGCTGAATCTCTTCCTGTGTGGGACCATACAAAGCGATCTTTTTCAATACTACCTTATGCTTTACAAGCTTGGCTACATACAACCTACAAGTACTAAAGCCAAGGGTGTACGTGAGTGCGTTATTTGCAAACACACAGATTGAAGAAACAGGAAGCGAAAATTTATCTGTACCTGGTGCACTGAGAGCGAAGTCGCGCTGTGTACCATGGACTACTTCGTTGATTATTACTCACTTCCGAAGTACTGAGTGTGTAATACAGTGTGTTACTGTGTAAATAGTGTGTGAAACTGTACATATTGTAATTTTAGTGAATTTTTAACAGGTAATATTGCGACAATAAACATTTATTGTGGACACATTACTGACCCATGCATCACAGTTCCATGGAACATTATGAACGTTCTATTGTATACATATTGTAAAGGACACAAATATGCATCATATACGATAAAAATAAAATAAAACCGCATTGGAAATACATAAAACAAATCATTGAAAATATATTTGTGGCAACACCCGGTGCTTGAATGGCCCGCTCGACCGTGTCTGGGAGCTTCACACACGGGCGACCAGGCCCTGATGACGTCACAGCGCACCTTGTCCACGTCCCCACAGCCAAAGTAAGTGGAATTTGGTAATTATTTCTACATAGACATGTTCAGGGAAGGGAATTTATCATTTTACGAAGAAAAAAGATTTTTTTGGAACACTATTTCATGCGCACCGGGGGAATTTCACTATAAACTCTGCGCAGCACAGTAGTTAAAAAAAAAAAAAAAAAAAAAAAAAAAAAAAAACCAGGAATCTACATAGACCAAAAACAATAGGGCATCTTACTTATAACACTCAATGTGAATTTAAATAAGTTTCAAGCCAATCACATAAGCATTATTCAGACAATGAAAGCCAATAATTTCAGAGAGAAAAATATAAGGTATACTCTTAGGTGATATCAAATAGAAGACTAGTCAAAATATAGATGAAAATAAATAGCTGGCAACCACCCTTAAAATATTTCACAAGAGTCAAAATCTCTAGTGTTTGCATTTTTTAATATTACTTCAGTGCTCACCTGAACTCCGACGGACTTCACAGGTAGGAGAGTAGCATATAACGTCTGACTCAGAGAGATTCGGTGTAGCTCGTGCCGTTCTTCTTCCGATGTACAGTTTTCTATCCGGTTTAAAAGTGCATGTTTCTGCGGGAAGATTTTATAATAAAAATTGTATAACATAATACAGTACATATATTGAATTTTCTTGTATACGGCTGATTCATTATCAACACTTGTTATATTCCACATTAGTAATCACCATATTCATTGTGACCAGCAATGTGGCCATGTTCCACATACATTACAAGAAGTGACTACAAAACACATTCATTATCAACAGTAGCAATACACCACAGCTATTACTGGCCCACGTGTGGTAATGACAAGAATCCTCACCACATGATGCACTACAAAAACCATGTTTTGAACCACAAAACATTTATTGGGAAGAATTTGGCAATGTTTATATTTTTTGACTATTGATTTCATAAACTAACATTTTTGGCAGATTTTGATATTTTGAAAAGCAGTCTTTCACCCCACGCTCTCTCCGGAAGCCACAGTCCTTTTATTACTAACTTATATTGGAACAAATGGCAAACAAGTAATAGTAATATCAGTCCTGAGAGTAATGATACATTTGCTGTCAGAAATACAAACCGTCTTTTTGATGTAGACTGTTGAAGATGCAAAGTCTATCAATGCCAGGGTTGTTTGCGTGCTTGGTGAATGTTATAGAACAATCACTTTCTTAAGCAGTAGTGCTTTGTAACTCAAGAGGACATTACATAAATCAGGCTGTGAGTAGCTGCATCTCACAGCGTGGTTGACCAGACCACCAACCAAGAGGCCTGGTCAAAAACTGGGCCACGGGGACGTTGATCCCCGGAACCACCACAAGGTATATAAGATGGAATTCAGAGGAATTTAGCAAGAGACGCCCAGATCCATAAATGATGGAAACCTTACCATCATGCCAGGTGGGGAACACAAATGTTCCCACCTGGCACATATATGTGCACAACCGCAAGTTGGCAACTGCAACTTAAAATACTCGGCCATTAACAGCATGTCAGATGTGCCATTCTCAAAAATCTTATTATGAGCCAACATTCATTCCTAGGCCTTTGGAACATGTTTGCTCAAAATGTAGATACATTTGAAATCCAGTCAACCAACCATATGAAGGCTCTGGAACACGGTTGGCTCCAGCCTGGAGCCGGTCGGCCGAGCGGACAGCACGCGGGACTTGTGATCCTGGGTTCAATCCCAGGCGCCGGCGAGAAACAATGGGCAGAGTTTCTTTCACCCTATACCCCTGTTACCTAGCAGTAAATTAGGTATCTGGGTGTTAGTCAGCTGTCACGGGCTGCTTCCTGGCGGTGGAGGCCTGGTCGAGAACTGGGCCGCGGGGACACTAAAAGCCCCGAAATCATCTCAAGATAACCTCAAGATAGCTTCATGCTATTGCAAACATGATTTTAACTTGGCACTTAATAAATTACATTTGTAATGGAAACAAATAATAAGTTTACAAATAAATGCATTTCTTGAGTCAGGCCTCACACGAGTTGATGTACTACAACAGATTTTAGCTTACAGTTTCACTAAGGACAAATATTACTTTAATGAACCTCTCCCCCTCCCACAAACAAACAAAAATGCTGGGCCAGTCAGCTTGGAGCAAAGTAGTCATGAGACAGCTGGGCAAACAGCAGGCAAGACGGGAAGAATAATGGTTGGGCAACACTACCACAAAACAGTCAGTTGCATTACTCACCCCCTGTCCCCTCCTCCAAGCAGATGCACTACTCAAGCAAGTGTCAGCAGAAGACATTTGCAACATAGGCCAATACAAGGAAGCCCTGTTGAGCATTGTCCTCTAGGATATACACCAGGCTTTTGAAGGAACTGGCTAGCTGTCCGAGGGCCTCAGGTTGCTACCATTAGATGACATGCAAGTGTTACTAAGCTGTGATTTTGGCAAGGTTATCAATTTTACAATCTTGAGGTTATCTTGAGATGATTTCGGAGCTTAGCGTCCCTGTGGCCCGGTCCTCGACCAGGCCTCCTGTTAGTTACACACCCCCAGGAAGCAGCCCGTAGCAGCTGTGTAACTCCCAGGTACCTATTTACTACTAGGTAACAGGGACATCAGGGTGAAAAAAACATTTTGCTCATTTGTCTCCACCACCACAGGGAATCGAACCCGGAACCTCAGGACAACGAATCTGAAGCGCTGTCCACCCAGCTGTCAGGCGCCCTACATACAATCAGTTGTTTGTTTTGGAGTGATGCCCGATTCTCAGGCTTCTTTAAACCTGATTGGGGGGGGGGGGGGGCAGATTCTGGTCTTGGAACCCAGTGGACACTTAAATTGCTAGAGTTTTGCTTCCCCCCCAAAAAATTGTTGGAACAGCAACTAAGACCTTTATTGTCCAATATTAAGATAGCAATTAAATTTATTTCTTAAAGTATATGAACATAATTAAATAATTTATAACTTAATTAGTAATAGGTTAATAAATATAATTGAATCCCTCTCAAGTTAGTAGGAAATATGTATGGAGTTCTAAGATACAGTTCACCCATTTAAAATTAAATAAAACATTATTCATTTAAAATCAATATTTATCTTAAATTTCTTAATCACTTAATTTAAATCAAATTAAAACAATTTTCTCCAACAAGTAAATCCCACAGTAACAATCATTTGATATGTTTGCCTGGCTTTTAAGTTTTCTTCACAGTAGCTTGATTGTTTTTTTGGCCTAACCCTTCTCATAAGCTTCCTTGGTTTTGTGTACATTGCTAATCCCTGGGCTACACCAGCTACTGAGGGGGGGGGGGGGAGGATCCTCCCAAAACACTAATTTCTTCACTAAGAAGAAAGTGAAGAAAGACCAGTGAAGACTTAGCGAAGAAAGACTTCTTAGTGAAGAAGTTAATCAAATATTTTAAGTTTTGGTTTTAGTTAAAAAATACTGGTAAGCCATACCTTTTGTACACTGGCTGCATAATCAACAACAACTTTAAGGACAACTTGAGTTTCTGAGAAGTCCCTCTCCATGAATGCTTCATCAGCACATAATACTCTAATAGCTAAGCCAGGACCTGGGAATGGATGACGCTGAACGAATTCTTCCAACAGTCCCAAATCACGACCAATGTGCCGAACCTGAGGAAAATGCACATTATGAACTATTATGAAACGGCTATCTCTACAGATGGTTTCCAGAGGATACAAAAGTATATTATTCATTCAAATAAGATCTAACTATAAAAATAATACTTTAACCATATTCCTTGTATAAGTAAAATTATGAAGCTTACAAATGTGAAAAAAAAAACAGCGTTGAATGTAATGAAATGTCATTTTCTGGATGAATCCCGGAGGCTCCTTGGAGCTATCCAGGCTGAATGGATATGTTTAACTTTCTGGCATCAAAGTGCTTGGAGTTCTTGCTGACCGGGGACAATGAGCCAGAACCTGGCCCCCCCCCCTCAGAGAAGCACGAGGAGCAATGGCCTATGGAAACCCCCATGTGGTTAGGAGCATTTTATGTCTGCCGACTGGGTGCCTTTCTGGGTGCCTGTCGACTGGGACAGGCACCCAGACTAGAAGGAACCCAAAGCAACAGCTGGACCGGGAGAAGAGAAACAAATACCCCCACCTCGATCAGTCCTGCCGAAAAGCATCCACCGTGAACGCCTCGCAGGTGGGTAAGGGCGCCGCATAAAATGGGCAACGCCTAGACCATGCCAACTCAAAGACGTCCATGGCCAGGAGTCCATTCGTCCAACAGAGCCAACAAAACGAGTCGGCGACGACTGGCCAATCCGTGAACAGAGGAACGAACCGAGACAGCTGTCCGCCAGGATGCAGGACATACCCCGGACATGAACCTCATGGTTAGCCAAACCTCGAGAATCCAGCAAACGAGCCACTCTAAGGAACCAACCCCAAAGGTCAACACATAAGAGAAACTCTGTGGTTCCGGCAAGAACTGCCAGAGAACAGTCCGAACGGAGCTGAATGGTAGAGCACCGAGTGACCCCAACCCTCCGAAGCGCAAACCAGACAGCCACGAACTCCCAAACCGTGCGGTGAGCCTGACGGACGTACAGACTCCTCCAACCCCGGCCGACCTGGTGAGAACTGGTCACAAAGCCCCAGCCGAGAGATGACCCGTCCGTGAACACATCGAGCGAAGGCTCGGGGAGGTGCCAAGGCACGGAACCCCGAAAACCCCAAAGAGGAAGCTGGTGATGCAGCACCAACACAAGATCCCAGGAGGAACGAACCCAATGATTGCAAGAGGCGAAAGGGAAGTCTCCGAAGGAACCAAACAGACGCCGAAGCCAAACCCGACCCCGCGGGCAGACCAGCACGTCGAAGTTCAGACTCCCGCACAACTGCTCAAGCAACCACTGAGCAAACCGGGACCCCCCTCATGAACAGCCGAAGGCGAGACCACAGCCGCAGTAACACTTTTGGAGGGAAAGACAAGGAGTGGCCCAATAGCCCTAAACAAGGCCCAGGTCCGAACCCGAGATGGAAACAGATGGAATGGCCTCCAGATCACCAGGAAACCAAACCCGGCGATCTGGAAAGAATCACACCCCTGGCGAGCAGACAAGCGGACCGACAGGGAGCCCACACCAGCCAGTCGTCGAGGTAGGCCAGACACCGAATCCCAAGCAGACTCAGACAGGGCACTAAACGATCTGGTAAAGATGCGTAAATACACCAAGTGCCAATTACAAACTAGGGAAGGCAACAAAAGCAGCAAGCCTGAAGCCCCACCACCAACTGTGTCAGTCCCGGAAAACTGGAGAGGAACGTGCCAAGAATTGACCTGGAGGACCAGGGCCACCATCCAGGCACCCAGCCCCAACAGAAGCCAGACAGGAGACAACAGTCCTCCAAGGAGGGCATAGAATCCAGGGCACAGACTGAAGAAGTCCAGAAGAACCGCAGATGCGAAAGGTCCACGACTGCAAAGAGCAGACGGGAAACCCCAGAAGGATGGGGCGGATCGACCATGTCCAACGCACCCACTAAGATGACATGACGAAGCGCAGGGGAAGAAGCCCACCCCGCCAGCTCTGAACCCCCCTCCCCCCCAAAGGGGGAGAAGCCGTCCACCAAATCCACCAGAGGCCGGAAGACAACCAAAAGCGCCCACCAACAGCGGGACCATGCGAGAGTCAACAGAGAAAGCTGCTCCCCCAGCGCCCCGTCAACAGAGAAGGGAACAGAGCCCCTTCTGAAAGAAAAAGTACACATATACACATACACACAAGGTATATTACACACATGTGTGTATACACATGTGCACACACACACAGCGTACACATGTACATGCGTACACATACACTTTAAAAGAAAAGTACAAGCCGCCGACCAGTGGGCAGAGAGCACCACGCCGGCCAGGCAAAGAAGGCACAAAACTGCATCAAAGGCCTACCTCGACAACAAAACCTCAAAGTCCCAGCACGACCACAACATGTGCCAAGACCCACAAAGATCAGTCCTCAAGCCAGGAAGACCCCGGAACTCCAAAAGGCAGAACCGGGTCACACGAGGAAACAAAGCCCCCTGAACCCACAAAGGGGGCCCCAAGAGGAAGAAACCTTTGGAACGAAACCAAAGAAGCCAAAGGAATCCGGAATCGCACCAGGGGGAGCCCAAACCACCACATTTGTGGGCGGAGAAACACCACAGAAAGGCAAAGCACAGCCCCCAGACAGAACCTCCTGGGAAACGGTCATAACAGACCGAAAACCGAGGGACAAGGTGTGGGAGCAAGCATAACAGCCAGGGACACTGAACTTGAACCCAAGGGCCCAGATCCAAAACAGACAAAAAGGGAAACCCGGTGTAAAATCAACACCCAAACGTTCCCAGAGGAACAGGATACGGGCAGAAAACGCCAGAAAAGCAAAGAAACGACAACAGGAGAATAAAACCCCTGGAAAAAAAGGTGAAAACTCACCCAAGAAGCTCGCTCGCACACCCAGGCACAGGTAAACAAACTGCAACGCCACCCTGGTGGCCACGCCGGGAAACCGGCAGACGAAAATGGCCGCCAGAACAGAGGGCTGTGACCGACACTAAAGATACGAAAACACGCCATGAAAAGTGGGAAGCAAGCAGACTGGATGGGCAAAAAACTCTGCCCAAAAGAAGAAAACCCAGGCAGGGGCAAACCGCCCCAGAACTGCTAGCAGGCATCCCCCACCGCCCCGGGAACCAGCAACAGAGGCCCCGGGGCAGAGCCGTTCTCCAAGCCCTCCGCCCTTAAAGAAAAGCAAGAGTCCATGGGAAAGGCAGCAAGAAAGGGCCACTGGTAAGACCCAGAAGCCTTGGCAGGAGGAACAGGCTCGAAAACCTCTGTCCCCCTACCCGAACTGGGCAGCCCCCGAAAACCGCCCGAGTCTCGGCCCCAACTAAACCCCGCACCGACCCCGAAACCCGCAGACGGTCTGGAGCCGGGAACAGGGAGGGAAAGGGGCGAACAGCACCTAACCAAAATGGGGCGGCCTCGGGGCATCCGAGTGGGAAACCAACCAAGCGTGTTGCAGCAACCTAACCTAGCTTGCAACACGGATGCCGCATGTACTCTGAACAGTAATAACATCAGGAGAGTACTGGAGAACAAGCAGAGAATCTCTCTCGCAAGACTCTGGGTCAAGGTGTCAGTGACCCAACAGGCAACATGACGGAGGTAAAAGTGGCGACTGTCACCCGGAGACAAGGGCACAGCAACCAACGATCCCGTACATGACGGGTTGGAACCCAGAAGACACATTTAATGGTCCCCCGAGCCCACACAGGGGTTTCCAGGGCCCGTAGGCTGACTGTTACGGGAAGACCGGGGAGAAGGTGTTGCTAACCGGTTAAGAAAACCAAAAATAACAAGAGGGTAGAGGATAGCACTGAAAACCCCTGCGACGTGTACAATCACGGGGGCCTAGCAGAGGGCCGCCAAACACTACCAGTGGAACTATAGCCACACTGGGCAGACCCCCACCAGGCATAAATATAAAACAAAAGAAAAACCCCGCAAAAGTACACTGTCTCCAGAGGCAACAGGAACCGGTTGCCGCTTAGGTGGCAGGCTGCGCAACACCTTGACGCCCTAACTAGCACAATACCAATCCCTACCCAGGGCCAAACAAGAGCCTCAAGCCCCAGCTGGCCCCAAGGGCGAGGCAAATGCTGAGCAGCAAGAACCTCTACGGGAAATGGTTCCCGAACGCCCCAGGGAAGATAACCCTGTTACGCAAGGGCAGTACTCACAGGGCGCTTAGGGAAGTCAGCCACTAAGCACATGCAGCCCTGGCACTGATGAGGTACTCCTGGTCACCGCACAGCACAACAAACGGCAGTGAACGCCACACAAGGCAAATACCGCCTAGGAAACTGAGTACAGAGAAGCGTCTATCCCGGTTGTTATTAGCTTACGAACTGAAGCTTGGCAGCCGGCGCGGTAGGTCCGGGGCTCCCCCCTCCCCCTCTCGGGGCGGGGAGGGCTGCGCGGACGATTGGCGCGGCAGTAAAGTGTGATGTTTGCTTGTTTCCTTGTGATTGTAGGGAGTTTCTACCTCTCAGTTCTGTGTTTTGTTTTAGTTTTTACCATGTGGGGTTTGTTTTGTTATGCCTACCTTTCTGGGTGCCTAACCCGGTCGATGGCAGATAAGGAAAACCCCAACCACAAAGGGGTTTTCCAGGGCCATTGCTCCCTGAAACCTCTCTGAAGGGGCCAGGTTCTGGCGCTGGTCCCTGGTAGGTCTTTTAGCTCTTTAGTTAATGTCCCGGTCTAATATAATATACATTAGCCCAATAAACTCCAGGGAGCCGTAGGGGCTCCCCACAGAAAAGGCTAACATAATTCCAATCTACAAAAGTGGAAGCAGGGAAGACCCCCTTAATTATTGACCTGTATCATTGACATGTGTAACAGTCAAAATATTGGAAAAAATAATTAAAACTAAATGGGTAGAACACCTGGACGAAAACGATATAATATCAGACTGTATGGTTTTCGATCTGGAAGATCCTGTGTAACGAACTTATTCAGTTTTTATGATTGAGCCACAGAGATTATACAGGAAAGAGATGGTTGGGTTAACTGCATCTATCTGGACCTAAAAAAGGCTTTTAACAGAGTTCCCCATAAGAGGTTGTTCTGGAAACTGGAACATATTGGAGGCGTGACAGGTAAGCTAACATGGATGAAAAATTTCCAAACTGACAGAAAAATTTCTTTAGTATTTCTCCATGTATTTAAAAGCAATTCTGAAGTTAGAAAGTGTAGCATAAGCTCCTCGCACAATGATGTTAATGTGGTCCTCAGGCGACAGTTTTCTATCTAGAACCACCCCTGGATCTCTTTCTTATCAGAATTCTTTAAAGATTTCTCACATAAATTATAGGTTGTGTGGGGTCTATGTTCTCCAATTCCACATTCCATAACATGGCATTTATTCACATTAAATTCCATTTGCCAAGTGTTGCTCCATGTACTTATTTTGTCCAGGTCTTCTTGAAGGGCATGACAATCATCTAGGTTTCTTATCTTCCCTATTATCTTAGCATCATCAGCAAACATGTTCATGTAATTCGGTATTCCCACTGGTAGATCGTTTATGTAGACAATGAACATTACTGGTGCAAGAACTGAACCCTGTGGTACTCCACTCGTAACATTCCTCCAGTCGGATACCTTGCCTCTGATTACGGCCCTCATTTTTCTGTCAGTTAGGAAATTTTTCATCCATGTTAGTAGCCGTCACCCCTCCAATATGTTCCAGTTTCCAGAACAACCTCTTATGGGGAACTCTGTCGAAAGCCTTTTTTAGGTCCAGATAGATGCAGTCAACCCAACCATCTCTTTCCTGTAATATCTCTGTGGCTCGATCATAAAAACTGAGTAAGTTCGTTACACAGGATCTTCTGGATCGAAAACCATACTGTCTGTCTGATATTATATCGTTTTCCTCCAGGTGTTCTACCCATTTAGTTTTAATTATTTTTTCCAATATTTTGACTATTACACTTGTCAATGATACAGGTCTATAATTAAGGGGGTCTTCCCTGCTTCCACTTTTGTAGATTGGAACTATGTTAGCCTTTTTCCACACATCAGCTACAACTCCTGTAAACAGGGATGCCTGAAAATTCATTTGAAGTGGAATGCTGAGCTCAGATGCACATTCTCTCAGAACATTCTCTCAGAACCCATGGTGAAACTCCATCTGGCCCAACTGCTTTTTTCTTACTGAGCTCCTTGAGCATTTTTTCCACTTCATCTCTAGACACCTCTATATGCTCTATGATGTTCTGTGGAATTTTTATTGTGTCTGGTTCCCTAAAGATTTCATTTTGTACAAACACACTTTGGAACTTTTCGTTTAGTGTTTCACACATTTCATTTTCCGTGAATCTATTTCCCATTTTCAACCTCTGAATATCATCCTTTACCTGTAATTTGTTGTTTATGAATTTATAGAATAGACCTGGTTCTGTTTTACATTTGTCTGCAATCCCTTTTTCAAAATTTCTTTCTGCCTCTCTCCTCACTGCCGTGTAGTTGTTTCTCGCATCTTTGTATCGCTGGAATGTTTGGGGGTTTGGCCTCTTCCTGTATTGATTCCATTTTTGTGTCTTTTGGTCTCTGGCCCTCTCGCAATTTCTATTGAACCAATCCTGTTTCCTAGTTTTGCATCTCTGTTTTGGTATAAATTTTTTTATGCCTTTATCATATATTTCACAAAACTTGACATACATCTCATTCACTTCCTTGTCTAGCATCACGTCTGTCCAATTATACTCACTTAAAAAATTTCTAAGGTCACCATAATGTCCTCTCCTGAAGTCAGGTTTTTCAACTGCTTCAACCTCCTTATTTTCTTCCAGATTATAACACATTGCATACTTTATTCCCAAAAAGTCGTGGTCACTTTTACCCAAGGGAGGAAGATACTGAATGTCAAATATTTCTTCCTCCTTCCTGGTAAATATCAAATCTAGCATGGAGGGAACGTCCCCTTCCCTCATCCTCGTAGCTTGTTTAACATGTTGATACAAGAATGTTTCCAGGATGATGTCTACAAATCTACAGGTCCAAAAATCTTCTGTTTTAGCTTCATATGCTTCCCAGTCTATGGATTTCAAGTTGAAGTCACCGACTATCAACAGTCGTGATTTATCGTTATCCGCTCTCACTATGATCTCTCTCATTATTGTTATAAGACCTTCGCGTTTACTATCTAGCTCCTCCTTTGACCATGTGCTGCTTGGCGGTGGACTATATGCATTTATGATCATTTGTTTATCATCCTCATGGCAGATCCCTAGTGCTATTATGTCAACTTCTTGTAGATTGGCAGTCATTATTTCCTTCACCTTTAGGTGTTCTTTCACCAGCACAGCAACGCCACCGCCTTTCCTAATTTTCCTGTCCCGTCTCCAAATTGAGTAGCCCCTTGGGAATATGACCTCATTTAAAATAATATCTTCAAGTTTTGTCTCCGTGAGTGCAACAATGTCTGGTGTCTGCAGCTGTATTACATCACTTAACTCCAGTATCTTCGATCTCACTCCATCTACGTTGGTGTATGCAATCTTCAGGAACTTGTTCCCCCTCTCCTTATTCTTCACTCCCCCTCTCTCTATTGATTTTGTTGGTTTGCCTTTATGTACAGTACCACTTTACTGGTTTGCCTACCCCTATCACTTTGTAGAAAAAAGAATTTATTTCTTCTTCATTCCTGCTCTCATTTAAACGTTTTGCCTCGGCGAGGTTCAGTTTCAGCTTCTCTCTGTCTTCTTTTGAAAGATCTCGTCTTAACGACCACACTTTCCCATCCTCATCACTTTGCAATTTTCTAGCATTTCTTAGTACTTCTTCCATCTGTTTGGCACCGTTTAGGGTGATCCTCAAAGGTTGATTTTTTCCTTTTACATATCTGCCTATTCTCCTGTATGCAATCTTGATTTGCATTGCACACATTCTCTATGGTTGTAAGACCTTCCACGAGGCTAAAAATGTTATCTACTACTTTAGCTTCTTCTACAGCTCTTTCTGACCTAGATGTTATCTCCTTTTCTTGGCAACCAAAAATGATCAGGGACTTACTCCGATCAACTGTGTTTTGCACCAACTTCGGGTTAGATGCCAATTCCTTTCTCACTTCTAGCCTAATGTTTGTTTTATCTTGGTTGCTGCAGTGTTTGACTTCCTTTACTGCTTCTTCTATTTTTTCCTTCTCCTTGGCCACTTGTGCATAAGTGAGTTGCATATCTTTCTTGCACTGTTCTATTCCCTGTGTAACTTCCTCCATCTGTGCTGACAAAAGCTGTTTCTCCTGTTGAATTTCTTTACCTAACCAATTGTAGTCATTTATGTTTAAATTTACTTTAACTTCTTCCATAGCTATTTTTAAGAGTTTATTTTCTTCTTCCATGGCTTTGCAATTTGTTTCCAATTGATTCTTATCCTTGCGCAAGTCTTTCACTAAACCCTCAAGACATAAAACTTTGCTATTCAAATGGTCAGTACTTTCTTTTAGTTTACTAATTATTTCTACATAGGAGTTCACTATAGTATCTAATTTTACCAACTTGTTATGTAGACTGCTAATATCAATGCTTTCTTCATTGAATCCAGCAAAATCAAGCTCTGTTTTGTCTTTCCTCTTGCCGGCGGCCATCTTGAATGTTCTTCTCTGCACTGGAAACACTAGAGCAACTTTTTCTCGTCCAATTTTTCACTTCCCTTGGCACATTCCTGTTATCTCACCTATTTTTCAAAAGCACTATACCTTTATGTTCTCTGGGACACCACTCACTATCATCAACCTGTACTACAATACTTAGAATTGTTGAAATATGCTGGAGCTCCTCTGATGCAAGTGTTGAATCTAGGGGTGTCACCTTTTGAATTTTTGAAAGTGTGCGGTAGCATTTTGGTTATAATACAATACACACTATACTGTACTAACATAGTGGTGTAAATCATGTTAATTTAGTTTGATTTGCATTGCCTATACCTTCTGAGCTGATATCCTTGGTACTGAGTCAATCTTTGGTCCCCCATGCTCTTCTGTCCATGAGCACACAAAATTCTGATCCTGGTGTTCATTATGCCTGCACAAATCCAGAGACCAAGTAGCATTATAGGTGTCAGTGGTGCCAGAGCCAATATACCCATGCTACTGAAACGTCAGCCCACACATTTTTCTTTTCTACATCATATTTCAAGTGTTTTTCATCCATCTAACAAATTAAGTGTGATGCACTGTATATCTAACATTATAAATAATCATATAGTGTCACATCAATTTACAAGTGAGATATGCTAACTCTTTAAGCAAACAAAAATCTTTCCTACCTCATCTTTGTGGAAATCTTTTAGTGGTTCCACTACCCTGCCTTGTACCCTGAGGACCCGAACAAGATCTGTGTCATTGTGGTGCGTTTTTATGTTCTGAGCATTTCCAGAGACCATTGAAGAAGCGGACTCAATGAGATCTGGTCTCAATGTGCCCTGACCCAACATTACTTCCTCCGTTCTCAGGTTCATTTCCGCCATCAGCTCATTGGCAACCTGAAAGGAAATATTTGCAACTGAAAAACAACTGATTCTAATTTAACTTACCATAAAAACTTTGCACTTCTTACTCAAGCCCCTGCTGTCTACCTTTCACTAAGAAGTATTTCCCTCCATTGTCACTTATGAACGAGAGGACAGTCATCACAACTTCAGTTGTAGTTCATTTGTTATATGGTTTGGCCTGTAGAGCAATTAGGTTTGATTTTTCCATTGCTTAGCTTACCATGCATACGATATGATGTTGATCATGTGAAATAAACAGTTGACAGTTATTCAAGCCTGTTAGCCACATAGTAACTCTTACACAGCACAGTATGTTCATTTGTCTTTCAATGGAGTAGTGGAAGGATTTACCTACACTGCTAGACAATTGCAGGATAAGAGATTTATTGTATATTGTATTTGTGGTAATTGAGTTGTTTTACTCATGCTGTTAAATGTTGTATAGTCTTGCTTATCTAGTATTCAGGAGCTGCCTCGTATGGGCCAACAGGCCTTCTGCAGTTGCCTTTGTTCTTATGTTCTTATGTTCCAACAGGAAATTTATGTATGAATGTGGCATGGCCTTATATGATGAATATTATGGCTTATTTTGTCAATGAATGAAACCAGCTTACCCGAAAAATATTTTAATTAGTAATGCTCTTGAGTTACCCCTCTGAGATGAGGGGATTAAGACTTTGCCTTGCCGATAACGCATAATGCATCAGGATATGAATATATGTACAGTACTCAGTCTGAATGACTGAGTACTGCAAACAGCAAACACATACTTTTATTGCTGCCTTTCTTCATATCAATTCCCACACCACTATCTACAGTGGAGCCTCGATTAACGAATTTAATCCGTTCTGGTAAGAGCTTGTAATGAACCAAAACTACCATTGAATGAACCTTTCCTACCCTCTCTCTTTCTACCCCTCTTCACTCAATACCCCAGCTTAACACTGTTACAGTCCAGTATGACCCCTCACTCAACTGCCACGAATATAAGCTGAATATTAAATGAGGAGGGTACAACAAGAATATGGGTTATTAATTTATAACTAATAATTAACAACTCATTAGACATTTCCACCATCTTCCCGACCAACCATACCTGAATGTGTCTATCACCGATCCCCCAGGAAGGCAAGGAATCAGCAATCATGGAACTCCCGGGCAATAGGACCTTCAGTAATAAATCTTGGGAATTAGTTTGTTTAATTTACTTTGCTTATTTCAGTTCAAGGGCAACTTTAATATCCATAAAATGGAGGAGAACAGGAGGATTTCCAAATACCACACATATATACTGAATATAGAAATTGCTCCCCATTAACAACAAAAGGGACAGAGATAACTAAACAACAAAACTCTTTAAAAGTTTATTAAAAATTTAACACATATTGAAATCAGACGACCATATACCCTACTCTATTATCCCTAAGAGGCAAAGTGGATATCTACCGAGGACATGAATACTCAAGTGCACAATACCTTAAAACTGCACTTAGGCCAAGATGTCGATGGCTGCCCTCAGCCCCTTTGATGCCGGACCGAGTTCTCCCCCCAAGCACTCCCAGAACACACTACTGAAATTTTGTTTCACCAGCTTACCGGTGGAAGGGTAGCTCCTCCCACAATCTAATACAGCTCCAGGGCTCCACCCATTATTTTTGGCTACGGCCAACCATTTAAAACTTGGCCTGAGGTCTGGCTCTCCAAGGCCAATAAGGACTTGGCACTTATCTACCGCCAATCACCTTCCATGATCTGCCGTGGAAGGATACATGAAATTCTCAAAGATTGAGTCAGCTCTCACCAGCTACTCGAAGGGGACAAGGCACCTCTGTAGTAGACCACCCGAGCCTAGTGTATATCCGAGCAATGTTCACAAAACTGATAAATTATGTTCAACCCTGTCTCATCCAAGATAAAAAGTAGGGACATTTGACTCGCTTGGTATGGAGGAGGAACCGGTGAGAGAGGGGGAGAGGGAATGAGAGGTGGATGGAGAGGGAATCTGAGTGGGGAGAATTGAGTGGGGGAGCATAGGCACCAAGAGGACCAAGCTAGCAAAACCACCCTCAGGTCAACCTCTTGGCCCTTGACAAATAGGCAAAGGAAGGGGGGGGGGGGAAGAGGGGGAGGGAAGGAGAGAATCAGCAGTTACAAGCTCGTCATGTGAAACGCTCGTCTTTCGAAACTAGTTTCCACATTTAAAATGTAAATAAAATTAATCAGTTCCACAACCGCAAAACATCAATATGATATTCGATTACAGTATTTAAACAATGGAACAGTTTACCTAACATACACTAAACAAACCTTTGTGACATTTGTCCGGTTAATAAATTTGTTCATTTTTTTTTTCATTATAGCAAAAGGTGTGCTATATATCAGATAGGCTGCTCTATGTTTCTTTAACTCTTGTGTGGATCTGGGCTATTTATTTGTCACCCACAGGCGCATACAAAAAAGAAAAAAAATTATTTTTTTCTTCTAAACCTGTTAATTTGTGTTTTCTGATCATGGGAAAAATAATAACAAAATTGTAAGTGGCATATATTGCCCGCTATAGGGTGCGGAAGTCTGGCAAAAAAACAGGCGCTGACTCAACGTGCGTCCCAGATGGTCTGTTGCTCGTCAGCTGTCAGGCAGGAGTTGCCACAAAGAGAAAATTACCTAATTATTTCAATGTTTCTGATTGATTTTTCGTATTTTGTTGTAATATTATTCAATAGTGTGTAGTGTGATATATTTATATAATAAAATGAGTGAATCATCACTGTACTCAAAAATATGGTGAGCATATTGTTGATTCCATTATTATGTTCATCAAGCAGTGAACAAATACTGTTGGTAATTACACTATATACACAGGTTATATTTAAGTATCTACATGTTTTGTTCACCATAACGAACCACTAAGTTGCTATTATGAGTCAAATAGCAACGAGGAGTGACCGCCACACACCAGCCAGCCACTCGCTGCCACTCACTCCCTCAACACCTCACTCGCCCACATTCTCCTCCCACCATACTGTTTTTGCTTTTATTCACTATATACAGACGTTATATATAAGTATCTACATTCGTGTTCACCATAACGAACTACTAAGTTGGCATGCTGAGTGGCAGTGCCAGCCCGCCACTGGCTGCCACTCCCTCCCTCACCTCACCTGACTCACCCACATTCTCCTCCCACAATACTGTTTTTGCTTTTATTCACTATATACACACGTTATATATACGTATCTGCATGTTTTGTTCACTACAACTGTACAACTAAGTTGATATAGTTAGTTCAGGCACTAAAAGACGTCGCTACACAGTCAGGTGGCGGCTGCTTCCCTCACACATTCAAGGTCAGATGCACTAAAATTTCACCCCCAACAATTCAGTTTGTGGTGTTATTAGCCTATATACAGACATTATATGTAAGTATCTACATGTTTTGTTCACCATAACTGTTCAACTAAGCCGGTATAATGCCCAAAGAGCATAGTGGCCACCCCTACCAACATGACAAATCATGCAGATGTTGCCACACCCATCACTAAAATGGCTTCTTCCCCACACTCCTTTTGCTGTTATTACACCGTATATACACTTTATATGTAAGTATCTACATTCGTGTTCACCATAACGAACCACTAAGTTGATATGCTGAGTGGCAGTGGCCACTGGCTGCCACTCCCTCCCTCACCTCACCTGACTCACCACCATTCTCCTCCCACTATACTGTTTTTGCTTTTATACACAGATGTTATATATAAGTATCTGCATGTTTTGTTTACCATAGCAAACGACTAAGGTGGTATAGTGAGTCCAGACAGTAAAAGGTGGTCACACAGTCAGCAGACAATGCTACCTCCCTCCCCACCAAGATTACTCCTACTACTACAGCGCTAATTATTACAACAATCCTGCTATTATCAGAATCCTGGTCATTTTTATCACAGTCAGGGGTCTTCTGTTATAATATCATTTCTAAATAATACCAAGAACATGTATATTACGGCATTTTTAGGCGATGCTGTGGTCACAAGCTGAACAGCAGTGCTGTGAGCTCACGCTGCATGCGTCAGGCTTGGTAGCTCACTCAATACTGAGGCCACTCACACCTGGGAATTTGGCCCATGATTTAAAAAAAAATTGCGTCTGTTTACAAGAGCCCTGATGAAGGTGTGGTGAGCCCCATGTATCTGCAGGCCATTTAAATCTTGCGTAGTACTCCAATATATCATATGATGTGGAGCGCAAGTTACTGCACGTCACTGAACACATCATTTGATGTGTTGTGCAGTTAAAGGGTTAAATATTTCTCACATAAATTATAGGTTGTGTGGGGTCTATGTTCTCCTATTCCACATTCCATAACATGGCATTTACTCACATTAAATTCAATTTGCCAAGTGGTGCTCCGTATACTTATTTTGTCCAGGTCTTCTTGAAGGGCATGAATATTATCTAAGTTTCTTATCCTTTCTATTATCTTAGCATCATCAGCAAACATGTTCATATAATTCTGTATAACAACTGGTATATCATTTATGTAGACAATAAACATCACTGGTGCAAGAACTGAACCCTGTGGTACTCCACTTGTGACATTTCTCTAGTCCGATGCATTGCCTCTGATTACTGCCCTCATTTTTTTATCAGTCAGAAAATCTTTCATCCATGTTAGAAGCTTACCTGTCACCCCTCCAATATTTTCCAGTTTCCAGAACAACCTCTTATGTGGAACTCTGTCGATAGCCTTTTTTAGGTCCAGATAGATGCAGTCAACCCAATCATCTCTTTCCTGTAAAATCTCTGTTGCTCGATCATAGAAATTTAATTAATTCGATATACAGGATCTTCCTGTTAACACTTTCGCGCTTTCGATTAGAGATAACTCGTCACTGGTTTTTCTTACGATTCCGCATAACTGCCTACTTTTCTCGTCAATCGAAAAAATATTTCTATAAATTCCATTTTTTAACCGAAATGGATGGGGATACTCT